GAAGCCATTGACTCGCTGCGAAACCGTGAGGAACTGATTTTGGATTCCATGTCTGTCAAGCACACCTGTAACCCCAGCATTCCCACGGCAGGATGGGAGGCAGAACTCTTCAAGTTCAGGCCAATTGTCAGGGTTTACACAGAAGCAAACAGCAAAGGAGCCTGCCTCCACCCAGGTAGGGAGTAAGGGCATCCCAGGGGGGTCCCTGACCCCCATATGTGTATTCACATGTGTACACACACACAGCCTTTTTTTGGTTCTGGGTTTGTTGTTCTATTTTGTTTTTGAGACAGGGTTTCTCTGTGTAGCCTTGGCTTTCCTGGAACTCACTCTGTAGACCGAGCTGGCCTCAGAGTCACAGAGATCTGCCTGCCTCTGCTTCCCGAGTGTGAGTATGGGGATTAAAGGTGTGCACCACCATGCCTGGCAAAAAAATAAATAAATAAATAAATTTTGTTTTCATTTATTTCATGTACTAAAGTGTGTATGCGTGCATGCCTGTGCATTCATGCCTCTCTCTGTGTGTAAGTCAGAGGATAATTGTGGGAGCCGAGTCTCCTTCCACCATGTGGGTCCTGAGATTGAACTACGGTCATCAGACCTGGCAGCAAGTACTTTCAGCTTCTGAACCCAGCACCTGTGCTCCCCTCGGATTAAAAGGGGAAAAAGTCGATTAACTGTGCGTGTGGCCCAGGGGCAAAGCCCTCCCCTGGCGTATAAAGCCCCTGGAATCTGTAGCTAACACTGGGAAAAGGGAAGTTGACATTCTGTAGAGCGGCTTTTCAGCTCCCAGAGAGATGCGAGGAAAGCACTGAGAGTTCTCGGGTGATGCCTGTCCTCGTCCGCCCACAGCCGCCCCGCTGCCAACACGGGGAAGCTGGGGGCTCTGTTACAAATGATGAGTCTCCATCCACACCTCCTTCCTGCCTGTCTTCCTTCCTTTCTATCTGTGTATGTGTATGTAAATACATATACATGTGTATATAAATACATATACACATATGTGCTTATTTATTCACTTTACATTCTGATTGTAGACCACTCCCTCCTCTCCTCCCGGTCCCACCCTCCCATCCCAGACTTCCTTTCTTGCCTACAGTGCAGAGGCTGCAGTGTGCACTGGGGTTCCCTCTTGGTGGTGTACCCCCTAGGTTTGCACACTTCTTCTAGTGACCTAAAGGGACCTCTGCAGTAACTGACAGTGCACGAGGCAATGTAGTGAAAACACCCTGGGCTTTGGGCTGGAAGCGACAGCTCAGCAGTTAAGAGCACTTTGCTGCTGGGTGCGGCGGCCTGCGCCTGTAATCCCAGCACTCAGGGAGGCAGAGGCAGGACGATCTCTGTGAGTTTAAGGCCAGCTGGTCTATAAAACGAGTCAAGGACAGCCAAGACTACACAGAGAAACCCTGTCTTGAAAAAACAAAAGAAAAGGAGCACTTTGCTGTCTGCACAGGACTCAAGTGTGAGACCCAGCACCCACATGGTTGCTCACAACTGTCTACAACTCCAGTCTCCGGGGATCTGACTCCCCCTTCTGACCTTTGTGGGCCCTGCATGCATGTGGCACACAGATACACACGAAGGCAAGACGTCTATACCCATCTGTATCAGTGTTTGTCACACTCACGTGCAGGTGCCTGAAGAGGCCAGAAGGAGTTACAGATGGTTGCGGGTGCTTGGGAATCAAACTCAGGTCCTTTGGAAGAGCAACACATACTCTTAACAACTGAGCAAGCTCTCTAGCATCCTGAAAGTAATTTAAAAAAATTTTTTTTGGGGGGCAGGGTTTCACTTTGTAGCTCTGGCCTTCCTGAAACTCACTATGTAGACCTTGAAAGCGGTCCACTGTAATGTGGTCTCAGATTTGGCATAGAACACACAGAGACACCAAATTCTCACCACGGGGAACAAAAAACAAAACAAAACAACAACAACAACAAAAAAGATTTATTACCCCAAAAGACAAGGGGTTGGGGGACATGTGCCTCTGGATCAGACAAAGAGGTGATTTGTTTTTAAAGGAAAACAAAGCGGGGGGCGGGGGAGGTCTGCACTAGGGTAAGTTGGTAACTCCCAATCGGACACGCTATCCAGTATGACCTAATAATGAATTTTGATTGCTGGACCTTGGTGTTTTGATAGTTTGACCTTGGAGTTTTAGTCAGCATAAGCAAGTGGCCAAATAAGGGAACAGACTTTGGTAGCTGTAAGAATGTAATCTAAGGCTGGAGAGATGGCTCAGCAGTTGAGAGTACTGACTGTGCTTCCAAAGGACCTGGGTTCAATTCCCAGTGCCCACATGGCAGCTCACAACTGTCTACAGCTCCAAGATCTGACACCCTCACACAGGCAAAACACAAATCCACATAAATAAAAAATAAATAAATTACATTTTAAAATATAATCTAATGGTCTAGCAGGGAAAGCCCTTCCTATGCCGTGTTTGCCATGCTTGGATGTGTTAGAGCTCTTCACCCTGGGCTGGAGAGATGGCTCAGTGGTTAAGAACACAAGAATGCTCTTCCAAAGGATCCAGGTCAGTTCCCAGCAAGCAATGGCTTTTCTTTTCTTTTTTTCCAGACAGGGTTTCTCTGTGTAGCCCTGGTTGTACTGGAACTTGCTTTGCAGACCAGGCTGGCCTGGAACTCACAGAGATCCACCTGCCTCTGCCTCCTTGAGGGCTGGGATCACAGACGCTCTCTAACATATCCAGCTTACAAAATCTTAGTCATTGTAGCAGATTTTTTATATTAAGTAGTACATTTTGATTTATGCCTTTTTCAGTTCTTTTACTTTATGTTTAGTTTCTATAAATATTAATTATTTGTGCTAATACAACTGGACCATATTCAGAGTCATGGAAATACCAAATAGGTTGCCAAGGCCAATGTCAGGGCATAGGGGGCTGAGAAATGTCTAAGCGAATACACACTTATACTCAGGACAAGATGGCATCACCTTAGTCACGTCAACACAAACCACCGCTTGCATGTGAAGGCCAGAGGACAATTTAATTTTCTCCTTCTCCTTTTATGTGGGTTCTGACACTCAAACTCAAGTCCACCAGGCTTTCCTGGCAAAGCGCCTTTACACCCTGAGCCACCTTGCCAGCCCAAAAGCCTTTGTTTTTTGCTTTCAGCTCATAAGATAACTCCAGGAGACACTCTCACTGGGCTCCATCCAGGCTACTGATATCTTTGTAGTGTGCTAGAGACTTGGCTTCTTTTCTCAGAATGTCCTTGAGTTGGAATCCCACACTGGGAACCTTTTGGATTGGCTTCCTTTGTTGAAAAATGTGCATACAAGTTTCAAAGCACACATCTGTGACCCCAGCACTTGGGAGGCAGGAGAGCAGGAGTTTGAGGCCAGCCTGAACTACATAGTTAGTTTTAGGCCAATCTAAGCTTTTGTTGTTGTTTTTTCTTCTTCTTTTGTTTTTCTTAGACAGGGTTTCTATGTCCTGGAACTAGCTCTGTAGACCAGGCTGGCCTCGAACTCACAGAGATCTGCCTGCCTCTGCCTCCCAAGTGCTGGGATCAAAGGCATGCGTCACCACTGCCTGGTTCAGTTTAAGGTTTATGATACCCCTGCTCAAAGAATCTGAAAGGGGCCTGCAGGATTGGTCAGTAAGGAGAAGCAGTTGCCATGCAGGCCGAATGACTTGCCTCCACTCTCTGAAAACTGTGGTCGAAGGAGAGAGCCAGCTCCGCAGGTCTGTCTGCTAGCTCTGTCTGTGTTTCTTGCCCCATTCACCCACACACATAACACACACACACACAAAAAAAAAAAAAAATAAATCAAACAACTAAGAAGAAATTGATGGGTTTTGATGGGTGTGATGAGCTAGACCTCATGGAAATTGTGAGCCCCTCATTTTTTTTTTTTTTTTTTTTTTTTGTGGAGAGACAAGTGCCTCTCCAAAGATGGAGATAGGAACTGTATTTGTGGCAGTCTTTATCTGGCACAGGGAGAACCAGCTGAAGGGGACTGATCAGGCTCTCTCAGTGGACTCCACCTAAACCCTGTTCCAGGCCCCACCCACCCCTTTCTGTGGCCTCCTGATGCTCATAGGTTTTCTTTTCTCTGTAGTACTTGACAATGATGAACTGGAGGGTTTAAGCAGGGGCTTGAAACCCAGCTTTCCCGCTGTGATCATATTATTATTATTATTAATTTTTCATAATTGTTATTTTAATTATGTGTCCCAAAGAGGTAAGGGTGATTTAGTTCCCCTGTAGCCTTGGTTTCCTGAAACACACTATGCAGACCGGGCTGGCCTCACTCACTCTGTAGCCTAGCACAGTCTTGAACCGCTGGTCCTCCTGGCCCCACCTCTTGAGTCCTGAAATGGCTCCACTTTGTTCGGTTTATACAGTGCTGAGAACAGAATCCAGGGTTATACAGCTGCTAGGCAAGCTGAGTTACATCAACTGAGTTACATCCCCAGCTCCTCCGAAACGATTCTTAATTTTTAAAAAATATCGCCTTCCTGCCCTTCTCTTTCTCTGTGTGCACTCGGGCAAGGAAGGGCATGTGTGCATGGCAAGCTGCAGAAACAGAGGTCAGAGGACAGCTTCCTGGAGTCGGTTTTCTCCTTCATGCATGTGGGTCCTGGGGATCCAGCTCACTTGAGGGCGTCAGACGGGGTCAAGCCCCTTTCCCTGACGAGCCATTTCACTAGCTCTAGTACACCATTTTAAACTAGAAATGCCATGGGGACAGTCATTACTCATTTATTCAACAAATATTTATTCAGTGTTATGTATGACATGCAAAGAACAGTACTGGGCAGAGTCTCTGCTTAGTTATGGGGGCACAGGTACTGGCAGAGCGCTTACTTACCAGTAGTGTTAAACCAAACAAACAACAAACAAACAAAAGCGGGAACGGTGGCCTAGGCATAGATGGGAGGCAGAACCAAGAGAATCTGTGACTTCAAGGCCAGCCTGTTTTACACTGCTAATTCCAGGACAGCCAGAGCTACTCGGTGAGACCTTATCTCAAAACAAACAAACAAAAGGCGTAGTCAGTCAGATCGCGCCAAGAGCTATTGAGAGTTATAACGCAAGAAGAGGATCAATGCGCACAGGAAGGTTGCTACGGTACGCAGGATACCTGAGTCAGCATTGACAGGTGACCTGGAGGGCGGCGTGCAGCGCCAAGGGCAATGTAAAGGCCCGGACGACGCTGGAGTTTTAGCGGAAGACTGCCGAGGTAGCTTAGGGACCAGCCATTTGTGACCTTCTGGGCGCCTCTGAGTCCTGATAGTGCTTTATGCCACACCCAAGATGGCGGCGGCGGCGCCCGGGCGCAAGCGGAAGTACGTAGGGGCCGGCGCCGAGAGTGAGGCAGAGCCACGCCCCTCCCCGGGGTCTCTGTGGAGCTGCGGCCGCGCCGGCTTCGAGCATCACTTCCCTGGCAGGCTGGGGGACTGCGAGGCTGCAGCTCCGGCGGCCCCCTCCGGAGAGGTACGACCTGCGCCTCTCTCGCCCCGGTGCCCGGGGTTCCCTCGGGGCTTCCCTCCCGAACCTGGCTTTGCTCCGAGGTTCACCCTTCCCCTCTCCTACCCTTCTCCCAGGCCCTCTGTCCTCTTCTGTCCCCATCGGCCCCCAATGGCCAAAATGGACCTTTTCACGTGGCCTGCAGACTTTCCTAGCTTTTCTCCCATCTCCTTGTGCCCGGCTCGGCTCTCGCAGCTCTGGGTCGTTGCCCCTTCTGCTCCTGTTTTGTTTGTTTTACTCTGTAGCCAAGACTGGCCTGGAACTCTGCGCAGCCCAGGCTGGTCTTGAACTTACAGCAAGTGTCTCGTTTTAGCCTTTGTAATGCGGGGTTACAGGTGTGCATCATCATGCGGGCTTTTATGCGTAGCTTGAGCGTGGAACCCAGGACTTCATGCATGCTAGGCAAGCGCTCTACCAACTCAGCCACATTCCCTCCCGGCTGCTGCTGCTGTTTGCTGCTGCTTCCTTCTCTACCCCCCCCCCCCCCCCCGAACAGTATAGGGGCGTGGTGAGGTTGTGTGTGCCTGGCTGCATCCCTGTTGCCTTCCTACCTATCTGAGTTATGGTTGTTCTTTCCTAGGAATCCCACCTGCGGGCACATTTTACTTATTAACGTTAGTGTGTGGGTGAGTGCCAGCGTGTCCGGGTATACATGTGGACGTCAGAGGACCACCTTCAGGAGTTGGTTCTTGCCTTTTCACCTTATTTTTTAAATTGTGTGTATGAGCAACTGTGTGTTGGTATGTGCATATGAGTGCAGGTGTCTGAGGAGACCAGGGGATCACGTGCACCTGTATTTGGAGTTACTGGTGGTTATCAGACTCCCTGATGTGGGTGCTGGGAACTGAACTCAGGTCCTCTGAAAGAGTTAACTTTTATTTATTTATTTATTTTAGATCTATCTATCTATCTATCTATCTATCTATCTATCTATCTATCTATC